AGGGAAATTGAAGACCGGTTATAAACCAGTAGTTAAACGCATTTATGACCAAAGTGTTTGATAGTTTAGTCTATTTAGTATTAGTAAAAACCCTCGTTTTATAATTTTCAGGGGTCGGCGCCACAATTGTGTAATGTGTGCGTCCTCTTATTTCATAATTGAAGTACGGGGGATTTTCTTTGTTGGCAGATAAGATTTTCTTTTCTCAATAAATTATACCAAAAGACAACAGTTGAGTGTGTAAATCATGTTGTAATTGTTGTAAAAGATTTAATGCTGCTGGATTGAATAAACTCGACGCTATTATGTTCAGCGTTTTGATGTTCCAAGAAACTCAAAATCTCTGCATTTCTTTTATAATTGAAACTAAATGACAGAAATTTCCACTATTATCATTGACGGATTAAAACCTTATCATTTCCTATATGACACCAACTCACTCTTCTATGGATCTTAAGCGCCAAGAATATCTGTGTAATAATGACTGCTAACTTACCAGAGATGAATTTAAAGACATTATCACTTGCCAAAACAAAATGTTTGACAACTAACTTGAGATGGGATGTGAATGCTAATCGTGCTATAATTTAGATTAATTTTATATTTAAATGTTATATAGAGATGATTCTATGCATCAACTAGCAAGCAAGCAGGAAAATATCTTTGCAAGTATATTTCTTTAAGTAAGCTTGCATCAATTCTTCATTACCAATATAAAAATAAATAATATATGAAAAACAATATCTGTTGTTTTACAAAGTCGTTTGTAATTGGGGATGATGAGCGTAGGCTATTGATAAGTTATTTGAAATGGATTGATTATAATGTTGGCGTTAGGACAAAGAGTACTAGTAGTGAAGAAATCGAAAGACTTTGAGACCTTACTTTTCTTGGGGGAAGTGAGTATCTTGCTGCGAATTGGAATTGAATGATTGAACTTGAGATTTCAACAATTAATCACGTTGAAAAAATCTTCCATCTAATTACAATAATATACAAAAAGTTAAAAGATCTTGATAACAGCATGCAAAAAAGACACTAGACAATAAAGAAAAAATTTGAACCCCATCGGTACTTATATCTAATCTACACTTTTGGACTAGTTCAATTATTTTTATAAAACTGAAATTTGTGGCTTTTATCATTCACTTTGGACCCTAAAACCTTTTTGTAGCGTGTTGTTGTTGTTCACTTAAAAGATTACTAATATTAACTAATACAATATTATTTATTTAACCAGTCAGATCAATGAGATTAATTGTAAAATTGTTTATTTTTTTAATAAATAAAAATTTAATTTACACAACAGTTAGTAAATCATCACAAACTTAATCCTCAATCACCTTTTAAAGAAGAAAGCAAGGAAAGATATGCATAAACAAATCCACTAAATATTAATTAAATTTTTATTTTTTTATTTTTAAAATTATTTTTTCCCATAATTATTTTTTTCTCACTTTAATTATTTAACTTATTCTTTCTTTTTTTCGTTAATTCCTTTTTTTTTTAAGAAAAGTCTTCTTTCATTATTATTGCTATTGTTATTATTGTTATTATATATATGTTTCAGACAATATCCAGGCTTTTTATACGTGCTTAAATATACTACATAAAATATATTGCAACTTTAATATATGATAATAATAATAATATAAATACCAGAGAATCCACATTCTTTTTATTAAAATTTTGCTCTTTCACATTCTCTCGCTTTCTAATTATTTAACTCACTTGCAGACAAATATTTTTTATTTTCTACATTTAAAAACATCAAAACATAAAAAGAAAACGATCGCGTTTATTTGATTAATATTTCCTTTTTATATTTTTTATATTAACGTTATTATTATATATATATATAATAATTGTATATAATATTCTATAATACATAATATATAAATATAAATAAATATATTTTATGTAAAAGTTTTTATTTTTTTTTTCTTATAAACCTTAAAAAATTTATATATAAATACACGAGAAAAAACTTTAAATAAAGGTAAATTTTTTTTTTTCTCATGATTAATTACGCACATTTTTGTTGGTTCCTAAAATAAATAATCTTTAAATACTAATAATTATTTCTCTCGAAAAAACAAATTTCGTTTGCATAATTAATTATTCTTTTAATATACACACAACAGCACATACATATATAACACAAAAGTTCATTTGTAATATATAACTTTGCTTCTAATCATCCAATCAACAAATAATTAATAGCACAAAAAATAATTTTATAAAAATGAATATACACCCGGAAATTAACTCTTTGAAATATTCAACAACAACAACAACGACGACAACTTCCAATACAACTAATGATATTTCAATATTATCAATTAATAAAAATAATAACAATAACAACAATAATATCGATAAATCTGTACAAAAACAAAAAATCGGAGATAATATCTCTTCTCCTCCCACCTCACCAAAAACTAATGTGTTTTCTTTAGGAAAGAAAACTTCAATCAAAAAATTTCCTTTCCAAAAAAGACCAAAATCAGAATCATCAACTACTTTACTTTTCTCCTCAAACTCTCCAAACTCCTCCACCTTATCATCGATAACAGCAACAAACAATTCTTCTTCTTTTATGTCAAAAAAACCAAAAAATAAAACGAGAAGAACTTCTTTAATTACAACAAGGTTTAATAATAATAACAGCAACAACAACAATAATAACGACCACCAAGAAGAAAAAAGAAAATCAATAAAGAAATTCGCTTCAGCAACTGCTTTAAATTCATTAGCGTCATCATCATCATCGCCACCATCATCGCCACCATCATCATCAACAAGAACTTCAATTTCATCATCGTCGTCGTCGTCATCATCATCATCATCGTCGTCGCCGTCGTCCATATTTTCTAAAAAACATACATCTTCAACAATCGATGAAAAACCTCCTCAAATACCACCAATATACACATCTTCAATAAATTTATCAATACCCGAATCGGATCCGAGTATGATCAATAATAATAGTAATAATAATTCATGTGAAGAACCATCTCCAAAAGATTATTTACACAGTACTACAACAACAATGACATCACCTTCTTCTTATTCCTCGTATTCCTCTACTTCATCTACTTCCTCTACTTCCTCATCCTCATCTCCTACATCTACTATAACCTCAACCTTTTCAACTTTCGCCTCAATATCATCAGATCAACAACCACCGCCACGGTCATCAACACCAACACCACCCATAATCGAGGATGAACCAACAAATCTAGACATAAAATCTTTTCTAGCTGCCCCACGCCTAACACAACGTGTCAGATTAAAATCTGGTAGAGTGGTCAGTTTTTCTGAAGTGGGTGATAGAAATGGGTTTCCAGTTTTTGTTTTCTTGGGAATGGGTTGTGTAAGATATTTTATAGCTTTTTTCGATGATCTTGCTATAAGCTATGGTCTAAGATTAATATGTCCGGATCGTCCTGGAATTGGTTTATCTGATGATGTCAAAGATGATGATCAAGGAGTTTTAAAATGGCCAGGTAAATATTATTATATACAGATAGTGATATATATATCTAGTGGAATCATATTTATAATTATTTATTTTTTTAATTAAAAGATGTGATAAAAGAAATGTGCGATATGATGGAAATACGAAAATTCTTTATAATGGCTCATAGTGCTGGAGCACCTTATGCTCTTGCTTGTGCAATGAAATTACCTGAAATGTTACAGGGCACGATATATTTGGTTTGTCCCTGGATAAGTACTGCAGTAGCGAACAATTTCAAATGGTTGAAGTTTGTGCCAACACCATTGATGAAGCTAACAAATTCCGCTGGTATATCGCTACAACAAATGATTCACGGTCGCCAACCCTACTCGACAAAACAGAATCACAGAACATCATCAGGTGCATTATCGGCTCAAATGTCAAGTTTTGACAAGAAACAACAACTTGGCTTGGCGATTTTGAAAGCTTCATTTGCAGAGAATTTGACAGGTGCAAATAATGATTTGGTAATGTGTTTTGAGAGAAAAAGACCATTTGGGTTCTCGTACACGGATGTGAATCATCCTGTACACGTGTTCCATGGTACCAAAGATGATCGGATTCCGGTTGCTGCTGTAAAATGGATGGAAGAGTGTATGCCTGATTGTAAGTTGACATTGATAAATGGCGGGAAACATTCTTTGTTTTTACGTGCTGAAGTGGTTGATACGATATTTAGATCGATTGCTATACAACTTCATGTTAAAGATGATTGTAGATTGTGTAAGATGTCATCAAAATGTTGGTTGATGGAAGAAGCTGAAATTCGAGAAAGGGAAAGTGAACTATTAGAGAAAAAGAAAAATTCCATCGATAGCAATAATAGTAGTGATTATAGTAGTATTTTGGTTGATGTTAGCAATAGTTTGGTTGATGTTAGCTATAATAACTTGGGAGATGGTGATGATGTTGAAGATGATAATAATAATAATAAATCATCGTCCGATGATACAATTGAAGAATCACCACCGCAGCCAACTAAAAGAAGAAATTTAAACCCAAATTCTAGAGATTCAAGTAAAAGGAACGGGATAATTCATGCAGTACCTGCTCCTAATATGAAAACTGGATCAATGAATTTACTCTTGGATAAAAAAAACCAATCTGCAAGAACTTCAACAAAAAAAGCTGTACATAGTTATTATTAATATATTATTTATTCATATATTCATATTTTTATATATTCATATATTCATATTTAATTAATTATTCATTTTTTTTTTTACAAAATTAAAAATTTATTATCTTATTTATTATAAAATATTCATTAATCAATTTATTTTTTTTTTATAAACTGCATACATAAATCAAACATTTCGTATCACATACATACATGCAATACATTTTTAATAGCATTTTTTATATAAAACAATAAAAAATTATAATTATAATAGTTATACGTAATTTTGTATAAAGAAAATATTTGAAAAGCCAAATTATTTTGTCGTTATTAATTATTTTTTTGTAATTTAGATTATTAGATTAATAAAGGAGAATCAATAACAGCCAATCCAATTGCAACACCACCTTCTTTAATCTCACTACTTTTACTTCTTAACACATTACCAATGCACTCATTCACAATTATTTCTTCGCCATCATCATCATCATCTTTAATTTTTTTAGAAATAAAAACACCAAATGTGCCCAACTCGGAGATTATTTTACATTTAATCAATTCACCTTTCCTTAATAAAATATTTGAAATTGCTGGCGGTTTAATCAAATCCATTATAATATATTTTTTAAGTTCTTGCGATGACGACACTGACGAAGATTTCAATTTTTTAATAGTGTTGACCATTTCCTCGCCATATAAATTATTACCACCTCCTTCACGTTGTGGTTTCATCACATAATCGTTTGGATTATCAATTACTGATTTAAATATATCATTGTTGGAGTGAAATTGATAAAGATTGGCAAAACATGATCTAATTTTTTTAGCGTCAATCGGATTTTTTATATATTTTTCTACAATATTTGGCCTGGCTAGAACTTGTTGAAATACTTTAAATCCAACTAATTGATAACTGATTGATGGACATTTTATAGATTTTGATCGTTCGATCATTAATCTTGCATTCCATTCCTGCACACATATATATATATATATGCATACACACACAATAAGTTTTTGTAATTAGAAAAATAATATATTTTGTAATACATACATTTTCACTAGGATAATCTCCTGGTCTATAACCTGCGCGAAAATATGTTACCGAAACCTCTTTACCATTTCTATGCCAATTTAAAATTCAATGAGCTTTTATTCAATTACATTAAATTATAAATGATTTTATTTTTACTTACATAATTAAAGCTTTAGTTTTCTCATTTAATTTTCCTTCTAAAAATATTTCTAAAAGTGTTTTACGTATTAAATCAATTTTATGACTTTTTTTTTTAGTTCGGTTTAAATCAAGTGGTAAGAAAAAAGAACAATCAAAGCAGCTTTAGTATTCCAATATAAAAAAAAAAATTAAATTTTTTTTTACGTACTTTTTTAATAAATTATATTCAATCCATCTTTGATCAAATATATTCCATTCGTCACTTTGTACCACCATTAATACTACACTACTATTATTTAATCAATCATTAATTAATATAAAATTTCAATATATACACACACACACACACACACACACATATATATTAAATAAATACTTTTCAGATCCATAAAGTTCATGAGCAACAGAAATTCCTTTTGGCATATTAGAAATGGATTCATGATTTATAAAATTTTCAATTTGGAACAAATTTGATGAATTAAAATAATTTGTAGACTTAAAAAGGTATCTATATATGTAGAGTGCATATTGTTATTATTATTATTATTAAAAATAAACGTATAATTAATTAATATCTATGAATTAATTACTTGTGAAGTTCGCCAGTCAAGTATCCTAAACTTGTTAATGCTGATGATATAGTATTAAATTCAACTTGTAGAATTTTCAATTCTTCATTATTTGGCAATGATGATGAATGTAAAAGATAATCTGATCTATGTATGCCCAATGTTATTGGCTTTAAAAAAATTTTAATTTTAAAAATTAATTATAATATTTCAACCTTCAAATAATGATCTAACCTGAATATTTCCTTCCTTTCTAATTTTGAGATATATATCATAAAGTTTTGCAATGAAATCATCCACGTTAGAAATCCTAGAAAAATTGTAATAGCAATTATATCATTATAATTTCTCAAATTCAACTATTTAAATAATTATGTGCACACACACTCTTCAATAACATTAGAAATCAACTGGTGATCATTGGATAATTTGTGATACAAAATATTAAAAAGTGGTTGCAATTCCACCACCAAATCAAACTGTTTTCTAGGGAATGGTGTAGGCAATAATGATATTGGTGCATGCAGAACTGATGATGATGACTGTTGTTGATTGAAATTCTTTGGTCGAATATTTAATCCATGTGAAAGTGACCAATCAATTGCCAATTTTTTAAGCTGTTCAAGATTTTCATTAGATAAATTTAGTGGTGGGTAGTCATCAACAAGAACGATATTGGGAATTGATGATGTTGTGGTGGTGGTCATTTTTTTTTGCTCCTTTGAAAAAACTTTTTTTTTTTTTTTTTTTTTTTTTGAAAAACAAAAAAGATTATTATCATCGATAGTTTCATCAAATTATCATCAATAGTACAATAATGATTTTTAATACCTGATGCTAAATGTAATCCTTATATTTTATCACTAATAGCAATAATAAAAAAGTTAATTATTAATGTGTTTTTTCTTTAAGATTCATCATGAAGAAAAAATTTTTATATTTATGTATGTTGTACGTGAAAATGAAATTATGTGTAAACAAATAAAAAAATTATTTTCATCATTTGATTTGTTACAAAACAAATATACACACATTGAGCTTCTCAAATTAGATTATAAAAAAATTTATTTCCTTCCATAAAATTCATGATGTTTTATACTATAAACAAAAATTAATATCATTAACACAATCATTTTAATATAAATACGTTACTATAATAAATTCTTAGCAGAAAAAGGCTTAACAACCAATTAATTAATTGATAATAGGTTACAGAAGGCTCATGTTAAAATTCGTGAAACTGAAGGATGTGACTAATGTGGGGCATGGACTATAGAAAAGGGGATAGCTGCAAAATCACGATTTTGAGAAAATCGAAAAAAAAGATCTGCATTTCAAGTAATTTACTATTGTTTTTAAAAAATTAAATGGAAAATATCTCGAAATTTTATTAAGTAAAGTGGGTATGGTTTCTAAGCTAAAATTAATCCTTGTAGCAAATTACGCATAGAAGTGGCATTAACTCAAAATCACGATTTTGGTATGCCAAATATGGAATTTCTATTTAAATAATAACATTACTATATAGATATGCGGATTTTGGAATCGGACTTTTTTCAATTTTGATGAAATCTAATTAAAACAACAAAAACCCATCACTCGTATATAGTAATCACAATCCTAATCCAATTGATCCCTGAAGCTTTATAAAGCAGTTTTGTTCACAAATAAAAGAAATTTTAGCCTGAAATTACGATTAGGTTTTCAATAAAATTATACATATATATAAACAGGCCAAAAAAGGTTCACACTTTTTTTTTACTATATATAAAAAAATTCGATAAGTCGGCCTCACGTGATATTTCATTTATATCATTACTATTTTAGTAATCGATTTAATAATTTTTAATAAAATATCTATGTAGAAAAATTATCTTTATTGTTCATTTTTTTATAATTTAGAAGGAATAGAGCATTCTCACTTGTGAATTAGATTCATATTTTATTACACATCCATTTTTTTCTTTTAAAAAGAGAACTTTTTTTGCTTTAACCATTTGATGATTTATCATGAATAATGCATTAATATTTTATTATCTCAACAGTTGTATCATTGATTGTATCATTCATTTATCATGAATAATGCATTAATATATTATCATCTCATCAGTTATATCATCAAGAATTCGGAGAACATTCTTGTCTAATTACAAACAATACATCTGTATTTATTTATCTCATTTTTATATCATCATTTTTATATCATCACTTATACCATTGATTATCTAGTATGAAGAAATACATTTGTATTCCTATTAAATTATTATGTTCAGAAATATGTATAAAAATATTCGCAACTTTAGTAAATACAGCAGTTTCTACAAAAGAAATGATGATTTTCCAGCCTTCTAATGTTTGAGATAAAAGATAAATAAATAAAATATTTTAAATTTAAAAAATCATGTGGAATTCAATAACTCAGTTCTCTCAATAAGTCGGTCACAAGGTCTGCCCTGACATGACCAACTTATTGAGTTTACATATGTAATGACAATTTCGAATCAAAAGATTTATCATGCTCGTTTGGAAGCAATATCAAGGTAAGGTAAAACTAAAGAAAAACAGGGATGGCATCATGTATTAGGTGAAAAAATTGATTGAAAGAGTGAAACTTTGACAAGTATTTTCTTTGTGAATTATTTATTTGTGCAAGACATTATTAATAATAACAGTGACAATGATCTATTTTAATTTGTTAAGTGTGCTTTTATCTAGGCCTTTATTATTATTTTACTCTCTGAAAAATATTCAAAGAGCCAGTTGAAACCATGTGGATAAATATTAAAAATGCAGAGGAATGTGTAGAATTATTAGTCAAGTATTAGTTAAATCTTTATATTTTTATAAGACATTACAAACAAATTGTTAATTATTTTAATTGTACAAAGTATGCTTTTACCTAAATATATGAAGATTTAAATGTAAGGAACCCATAATCCATTCATTTATTCATTCATTCTTTTATATTTGTTTTTTTTATAAAAATATCAAGAAGCTAAAACTATTGTCAAAGCTACTTTTTTTCAAAAATAGCTTGAACTGGAAACCTTAACCTACACCCTTGATAAGATTTCAAATAATAGCTTTGTTGACATAATGGCATAATTGGTGGGTGCAGTCTTGGATTCATGCAATTGCTCTGGTAATTTTTATCTTATATCTTTAATAAGTTTTAAAAAAAAATAAACTGCACATGAAGTCAAAATGATTGAAATTACATCATACAAGCTGAGCATCCAGAAAAATCTTCAGATTTGGACAACACCTGGCTGTTTTAGATAAAACAACTATCATTCGAATCCTCTTGATGAGTCAAGTCTAGTGAGATGTAATTCATCACTGATTATTGCAGGTATTTTGGTTTACCATAGATCTTACAATAACTCACCATTTATTGATGCTATGAACATTAAAATACCATTATTCGAATCCTCTTTATGAGACTATTTTAATGAGCCATGTTTCATTATTGATAATTAATTTAATTATAGGCATCATGTGATATGGCATAATTTCAACCATTTTGACCTTTTGGGGAAATCAATTTCAACTTTGTGTATAAAACAAACATGACATAGCCTTTTATTACTATTAATTTTTTCTTTGTGCATGAATGATACCTTTGCCCCCATACATTTCACAGTGAAGCTTGATTTAATGGATATTTTTTTCCAGATAATTTTATTATCTGTTAAACCAAGAGATCCACAAAAGTAAAACTTATGATCAAATCAAATGATGCAAATTAAATGCAAAAAAAATTTTTATTAATAATTTTAATAATAAACATCAAATAAATATAAAAAAAAATAATGATAATTATCATATAGTTGGCTCGGTCTAAAGACCTTCTAAATTTTGGGCAAATTTTAAAAGTATAGAAGTCATTTTTTGTCCTACCTTTTAAAAAAATATCCTCATTAGTTGGTAAAATAGGTTTCTACTTTTAATGTAATGAAGAGATTTTCTCCAAAAAATTATTTATTGTAGAGTTCTATTCTTTTTTAAAACATGTACTTTACTATGCTCATGAGAAATTTGAGCGCCATTATCATTGCTAAATTTAGACTAGTTTTTGATTATCATTCCTAAATTTAGCCAAATACTCGACCATCATATCTAAATTTGGCAGTAAGGAAAGTAGTTTTTAGCCAAAATCACGCGTAACCCTTTTTTAAAAAATTTTATTGCATTTTGAACGAATCACAAAATCACAATTTTTGAAATTTGAGCGCGTGGCGCAGCATTAGGAGGTCTTTAGACCGAGCCAACCATAGTTAACTCATAACTCATCAATTCACCTGTAAACATTCAATGTTTAAAAGCGAAATAAGTAATTTAATTATTGTAAAATTACAAAGTTAATCTTTATTATCTTAATATGATGTCCTTTATATATAAAATTACATAGATTGATAAAATATAAATAATAATATAAGATTGATAAAATATAAATAAAATATAAATAATAATAATCATAAGATTCTTATCAATCTATCCGGAAGATTTTGTGGACATAGATAATAATAATAAATATAATTAAAGACACGAAATACAAATAATAATAATAAATGTGTCACGTTTCTAATGTAAATATTTATGTACCACCCTGATGTTACACATGACTTCGGAGTAATTTGTTACATCACCATTGATTTGCTTCTTGGGTGGTTGTCTTAGTTTAATCATTGGGATCCAGTCCTTTCCAACGGGTTTTGCAAGTTCTTCCTTCTTGGATGGCATGCTTCTATAAGAAGTTTTATTTTATTGCTGTTTTATCCATATCATTAGAGATATTAAAAAATATCTGGTAAACTGAATATATATTAACATGAAAAATCTGTTAAATCTGTTAATGTGGATAAAATAATAATAATTATTATTATAGAAAAATTTGTTATCTGTTAAGCCCCTAAATCCATTAAATTGAGGTCTGCTAAACTGAGACTCACTGTGTACAATACATTACAATGTTTACAGTGATTACTCAATGCATTTGATATTATTATTGGCATAACAAATAATTGCATCACTTAGGTAGTAAATAACCCATAGAAAATAAAAATACAGAATAGGTGCAGAATGAAAAAAAGTACAGAAATAGAAAAGATATAAATTTCCATACTAATAATTTTATACATTTCCCACACCTTTGTACATTTTTTGCATTCTGTACCAACTCCATATTTTATTTTTATTAGGATACCAAGATCATACAGTAACAAAGCTTTTAATAATGTGTGTTCCAGGCTTCATAAAAATAGATAAATGATTCTATCCACCAAATCAGATTTGGCTGGGTGCTGCTAGAGTAAGGTTGTGGGCGAAACCTCTTAATGACTGTCAAAACTCTGTCGAAACTCTAATGAACAATTAATGTGTAACCTGTCGAAACTCTGATGATTGGCGAAAACCCCAAATGCGAAACTCTGCCGAAACTCTAATAAACAATTAATGTGTAACTTGTCGAAACTCTGTCGATTGATTTCTGGAGGAGTTTCTCCCGCAACCTTATGCTAGAGAGAATCAAAAAATATTTTCCTTCCCAATTATAAATCTGATAATTATCACAGGTGTCAGTTTTATTAAATTTTCCTATTACAAACATGCAAGACAGTGAAATTCTATCCACCTCCCATCACCATGAAAAAATTTTTTTTCCCATGGGTAAGATTATCGATCACATTGGAAGGCTTTGAACAAGTGA